AGGGGGCGCCCTCCCCCCGCCCGCAGCCGGGCCCGCGGCGCGCTCACCCTCGCACTCGGCGTCGGCCCAGCGCGTGCACTCGCGCAGCTGGCGCTCTGTGTCCTCGCACACGGTGCAGGGCAGGCACGGGTCCACGTGGTTGGCCTCGTCGGAGTACGTGCCGTCGGGACACTCCTCGCACACGGTGTTCTGCTTGTCCTGGCACGAGAACACGAGCCCCGAGCCCGCCTCGCACACGCGGCACGCCTCGCAGCGCCCCGTCGCCTCGTCCTGGTAGTAGCCGTAAGCGCAGCGGCACACGGCGTCGTCGGCCTCCACGCAGGGCGCCGACATGCTCTGCAGGCCCACGCACTCGGTACACGGCTTACACGGCTCCGTGGCGCTCACCACGTCGGAGAACGTCACGCCTGCGGGCAAACGGAGGTGGGGGAGCTGCGGGCCCAGAATTTGGTCGCCTGCATTTCGGGCACTTGGGACGCAGGGGCTGCAGGGCCTCTCTCCCTCCCCACGCCCGCAAGGGCGCTGCCTCCCTCGGTCAGAATCACCCCCTCGGCGGGCCTCACCCTCTCCCCTGATCCAGGTCCGTGAAAGCTTGTGGCAGCCCACTGGGAGGGAGGAAGGGGTCCGGGAGTCCCATGCTCCAAGCCCAAGCCCGGGAAGCAATGACCCTGAGACGTCTCAAGGTAGCCCAGGTGGTGCAGGTAAATTTCTTGGCAGATTCTCTTAGAGAGTTCCCAGCAAGATTAAGGGATAATCTGGAGGTGGTTCCCACCCAGCTCTCCCCACAGGCCAGAGCTGAGCTGGGAACCCAGCCCAGGCATGGGGCCTTCAACAGCTGCCCTTGCACAGGTCGGGGCTCAGGTGTGGCCTGTATGAGAGTAACTAGGGTTAGACAACATAATTTCCCACCCAGGGCGCTCCCCCACGCTGCCGAAAGGCTTGGCTCCTGAGGGTGGGGATAAGAATCCTGGCTAGCAAGTTCAGGTACAGCAGGAGGGACTGACGCTAGAAAGCAAGAAGGATTTGAATATATCATCCTCTGCGCTTTGAAAGGGCATAAAGGGAAGATTTTCAAAATCACTTTATTTTTTTAATAGTTTTTGTTAATCCTTACCTGAGGATATTTTTTTCCATTGCTTTTCAGAGACAATGGAAGGGAGGGAGGGAGGGAGGGAAGGAGGAAGAGAGAGAGAGAGAGAGAGATATGTCTCTCTCACATCAACTGGTTGCCTCCTGATTGCTCCCACCTCAGCCAACCTGCAACCAAAGGAAGTGCCCTTGACCAGGAATCAGCTTCGGTGCCCTGGGCCAACACTCTAACCACGGAGCCACACTGGCCAGGACCGAGCTCACTGTTAACTTATGCTTTCTTAATTAATGGATGTGAGCTCCAGAACAAGGGGAGGGACGCCAGGGGCGCCAGGGTCCTCTCCTCCTTGTGCAGAGAAGAGAAGGCACAGAGCAGATCTTCACTCCTTTCAGCCCAGCATGGAGAACTCGTGCCAATCTGCATCCAAGAGGGTGCATTCTTGCTCCAAGGGGAGGAAAAGCAGGGATTTAGCAACCTGAGAACCAGGGAAGGTCTGCTCAGAATGTGGAAGCCATAGAGGAAGTAGCAGCATCCCATGGAAGGGAAATCAAGGCCTGTTGTGGGTCTGATCTCAACCTTCTCTAAAGTCACCAAGAGACAAGATGGAGCACTGGGTCATTATCTTGGGGTGGGGGGAGTGTGTAGAAAAGCAAAGAAGAAAAAAACCAGACAGAAGTGGAAAGGGAAAAGATATAAGGGGAGAAGGGAAGAACACAATCAGTTCTGGCAGAGGGACCCCTATATTTCTCTTCCTAGGACTCAGGCAGATCTGGATTCAAAACTGCTTCCATCACTTATTAGCTGTGTGACTCTGGGCGCTTTATTTAACCTCTCTGAGCTTTTTACTTTCTCTGTAAAATAGGGAATAATATCTCCACTCACAGGGTTGTGATGAGGAATAAATGAAATTCACTGTAAAGCACTTGACACACAGCAGGGATCCTATAAAGGTTGGGCCTACCCCGTGGGATATAGTCAGACAGCAGAAAGGACTTCCAAACATAATCAGCCGAGGCAGGATTTCCAATTTAAACAAACAAGAGGCTCCTATCTGGTTGGCATGTGGCACCCTGGAAGGGAAGGCAAGGGAGGGCCCTCCCTGCTTATGGGAAAATACAGAAAATTAGCAGGAAACTCCTGGGAGAGGGTTTTAGGGGGTGGGGAAAATGTGGTCTTTTTTGGCAGAGAATGAAGGCAGGAGCTTAATGGGTTTCCTTGTGGAAACGTTTTGAGGATAGAGGGAAAGTCCACTGGGGTCTCCATTCCATAAAGTGGGCTTGTAAAGACTGCCTGTTAACGCAGCTGATGGAGAGCAAGGGGCGGAGGGAAAAGGAGGGGAACAGACCGAGGAAATGGGAGGGAGGGTTCCTGCCATCACCTCTGAGCTTGCCTCCCCTCTCCCCATCCCCAGAGATGCAGAACCTCCCTCCCCCAGGCTCCTCTACCCCATCTCTTGCTTGGACAGAGGGTGAGTGGGGTCCCATCCTGTGAGACTTAGGGTTCAGGGAGGAGAGGCCCTGGGCTGGAGCCTAGGAAATGCGAAAGGCAATCTTACGAGGTTCCAGGGTAGGCAGTAGTTGGCCAGCCCTTCCCTGGGGTGGAAACCCTGTTAGGCCAGGGCCAGGGCAAGTGCCCAGATGGCAAGGGTATTACAGAATGTCCAGTCTCCCCACCCAGTCCCAGGCATCCCTCTGCTGGGGTGTGGGGTTATAGGATCCATAAGCACAGAAATAGGAAAACAGTATGTTTGAGGACACCTAGGAGCTGGGGTTGCCTGGAGCATGGAGAGGTGGGCAAGTGTTGATGGTGGAAGAGGCATCCAGAGGTAAGACTAGGCTGGCAGGTGGGTTCAGAGTTCCCAGTTCCTGCTCCCTTGTTCCCAGTGTGATTATAGAATAATCTGAGTATGGTTACCACAGGCCCTCCGGATGGGCTGTGAGTGCCAGGTAGAAGGCAGGATCTGACTTGACAGTGAGGAAAGGTTTCTGGGCAGGGGCAGGAAAAGAGTACTGAGCCCATAGCCTGAAGGCAGCAACTGACGCTGGGGCATCCAGCAGAGCTGAGACTCCTGACTCCACAGTGCACGGATTTCAGACCCCAGACCCACCATCCTGAGGCCTCCCTCATCAAGCAGATCTGGAAGACAGGATTCTCTCCCCTCCCCAAGGACATCTCAGGTAGGGATGGCCACAGTGTCCTCTCCCTCCCCCACCTGATAACACCTGCAAGAAGGACATCTTTATAGTACTCTAACCCCCGTCCCTGCTGCCTGGGAAAGCTCTGCTTCCTCAGAGCTGGAGGACAGTTGGCCTGGAGGGAGGGGTAGCCACACCCTCCCAGGATCCCCCAAGGTCAGACTCCAGGGCAGCCAGTATTTGATTCTCCGCCCCTCCCCCTAAAAACACTGCGGGTAAGTGGCAACCATTGATTTTGCAGTGTAGGTGATATTTTTAGCTCATCTTAGTATCAGCTACTCCTCCCACCTGGCCACACTCTTCTACTAGGTTTCTTTGCTTGGGGGCTGGGAAGGGGGGTCCCCTTGGGATCCCCTATCAGGTCCCCTCCTTCCTCTGCAGACCTCTCTCATCCATTCTCAGCTTCCCCTCTCTGCCTCCTATCCTGCATCACACTCACTTCTGGTGCCCATAGAGTGGTGGGCAGGAGACACTGCCAGGAGGCAGAGGACTGTAAGGCCTCTCTTTTGAGCATACATCTCCTGAGCCTCTGGTCCCTCCCTTCCATTCCTCTCCCTTCTCCCCACCTGCCACCCTTTACTCACTGTCCAGGCAGGGCTCACACACAGTCTGGTTGGCTCCACAAGGTTGGGCCACACCCTCTCCTAGGTTGCAGGCTTTGCAGCACTCGCCGCTGTGGGTGTACATGCCTGTGAAGCATGCCTCCTGGGCACCTCCGAAGGACACCTGGGTCGGGGGAGATCAGAAGGTCAGACTGGTAAGAGAAAGGAGAGGGGGTATCTTCTGAGGGATCAAACACCCCCTCCAAAAGCCTTCTATTGGAACCACCTGGGCCTGGATGAGCTCACCAGGGAGGCATCAGGCACATCAAAGCTGGAAGAAAGGCAGTGGGGGACAGTGCACCCCTGCAAGCTGCTGGGGGTATGAGGTCAGGGCCTCCCAGGCTGACCCTCTGTAAAGTTCATTTTGGGGTTACAGCAACTCTTGAATCTCAAGGATACATTGCATAGGGAAAGAGGCTTGAGGCCCAGCTGAGGGCCTTCAGGTTGCAGCTCGCACAGGGTTTCCAGCCAAGGGGGCAACTGGCCTCTGAAATTTAGTCCAAATGCCACTTACTAAGCTGCACGACCGCAGGGCTGCATCTGCCCAGAAGGGGGCCTTTTTTGTAACAAAGGCTAGCAGGTCTGTCCCTACTCCAGGTCCTTAATTCTAGGCCAACCCTTACATTCCACATATATATCCAACAGGATGTATCTGTACCCAAGAACAGAAGGCAGAGGGGTGGGGTCTTGGGTTCAAATCCTGACTCTGCATTGGGAGCTCTGACCTGCCCTGCTCGCTCTCTCTGAGTCTCCATCTCTCCATCTAGCTAGAGATGGCTACAGCTCAGCGCCAGAGCAGACCAATTGGCAAGAGTGTGGCGCCAAGATGTAAGAAAGGGTCGCCTGTTATCAATGATGAGAAAGTGGCAGCTCTCATCACCCGGCAGCCCTGCTCCACCAGGGTTTGATTTCCAGTCACCAGCCCTCCCCACTCCCTGCCCCCCATGCAGCCAGTGGGAACAGCTCTGGAACCAGGGGAAAGGGAGTCGGATTCCTGCCGCCAAGGCATCTTTGCTCATGGATGGAACGATTTAGCACCAGATTCCCTAGAGGGAGGGGCTGCTGGCAGCTTGCTTTATATTTCTGTTCCTTAAAAAAAAAAATCTTCATGTCTAATAAAACTCCCAAGCCTGTTTCCCTGGCCCCAGACCACGCAGCTCCCATTTGATACTGAGAGGAAGTATGGGCTCTCAGGTCGTGCGAGCAGAAAGGAGCTTTAAAGGTCATTTTAGATATCCCTCTGCCTCCGCACTGACCAGGTCATGGCCAAGAACATTCCCTTCCCCCCAGTCCTTTAAGATATACTGAGATCTCACCAGGGTTAGGTGGAGGCAGGGGGTGGAGGGATTGGATGAGTGTGGGAGGCAGCCTGTGGTCCTCAAGAGACCAGCAGGGAGGGTGCAGGCAGTGTAAGAGGGGGACCTTGGATGCTGCCACCATCTTCTCCCAGGTGGCAGGAACACAGGGCTGGGAACATCTGCAGGCCAGAAGTCTTGGGGCTGGGGGAGTCCCCGATCCAGGCCTTCCCCCGGGAGGCCAGTGAGATTACAGAAGGGCCTGGTAGGATTCCTTTTCATCTTTTAGGGCTCCGCCTAACTATCACTTCCTCAAGGAAGTGGGCCTGTGCCCCCCCATCAGGCGGGGCTGCCCTGTGACGCGTTCTCTCTCTTGGCTATTCTTGTCTGTTTTGACACTTCTCAGGATCCCCCACTGCACTGTCAACTCCCTGAGGGCCAGGCCGTGGTTGTCCCAGAACCTGACATGGTATCTGGCACAAAATAGGGATCTCGCTTAACTAGAACTCTGGTGAATGACTTCTGGATAGCTGAGCTTCCCAAAAGTCAGGGAGTTGCTGCTCTAATCACCTACTGTTTTCCATTTTAACCAGGGTGGCTGCACCTTTCTCTGACTCCGGAACATATCTTCACAGTTTCCCCATGACTCAGGGACTCAGCATTTACACCAGCGATTATCCTGGGCTGCTGTGCACTGAAGCCCTTGTGTTCTTTATCCCAAATTACTACCACACTTTCGTCTCTTTGAGTTCTCCTGTCAGTTTTTTAAAATACTTTTTCTCTCTTCTCCCTTCCTATCAAGATATCAGTTGTCAATTCTTGATGCTACCAGAGTGTGACCTGAGTGGCTCCTCCCCCACCGTTCTAATCTGTTCGGTTTAATGGCATCTTTAGGGCATCTTTAGGAACTATGTAACTAGCCTTGGTAGGAAGGCGTGTCTTAGGAGAATGAGCTGCTGAACCTGGGTGGGAGGTAGTTGGAGGGGGCAGTTTAGCCATCCCCTAAAATAGGAAGCCATCTAAGAATAGGGGGCAGAATAGATATGAAGAAAATCTCAGCCACCAAGGAGTATGAGGATGGCATGGGGACCAAAGGAGGATGGGTAATTGCTCTCCTTAAAGTTAAGTCATGCAACAACTATTTACTGAGCATTGAAACAAGAGTTTCCAATGAGACATGGTCCCTGGTTTCTGTGGGGAACCACAGTCCCATGAGGGAGAGGAAATGTCACCCAAACAGCTACTCCAGAAGCCAAGATGCTGAGGGGAAAAGATGTGAGGGATTGCCTTCATCCCCTCTCTGACAGAGGGGGAAACTAAGGCCCACAGAGGTCCTTCTACTAAATGGCCTAATGCTTGGCCCCTGCCACACCTTCTATTGGTTCAAGCCAGGGCAATCTTGGGAAGCCAGGAGGGATGACTAGGGTCCAGGCTAATTGCTCCAAAATGACCAGTTTACCACAATGATAGGTGCAATTGCCTGCAATTTACATTATTACACTTCTTCATTTCCAGTTTTGTTGAATGATTTCATCCCATCTCTGAAAATGTTTGCAGTCTTTTTATTTTTGCCATTTCAAGGTTTTCAAGAAACTAAGGTGGAAGTACTCTTAGATAAAGTGACTTAAGACTGTTAAAAAATGTTTTTAATTATACGAAATAGAAAACACACCAAAACAGTTGAAAGAATTTGAATATGAATGCTTCAGTGTGACGGACGAATCCTAACCATTTACCCTTAGGTGAATGGAGCTATTAGCCATCGCCATGGGATTGGAGAGTTTTCAGCTATGTGGAGGGTCTTTTGAGGTCACTGCAAACCCAGGGGAGGCAGTGGCACATGCCCCCCAACCCCTTTAGATAAGGGTTGAGTTTGGATAGGGTAGGAGACAAGAGCTAATTACTGAGGATGCTGCCTCATGAAGACTTTGAGGGGGACGGGGATTCTGCGTGGGGCTAAAGGACTCAGTCCCAAACTTGTGGTATCTAGGGCATAGGACACGGATGTAATCTCCGGGGCTAGTAGTGATTCAGGGCCCTCATCCCTCCGGGATCTAGAAGGGAGAGCGGTCTGGCATACGGAGGAAAGAACAAGCTCCAAGCCAAGCATCCTGGGTTCCAAGGGCTCCACCACTTACTAACTGGGGGAGCCTGGTTTCATGCCTGAAAGCCTGGGAGGCTCAGCTCCAATTGTAAAACGGGAATAACTAGATTTACTCTGATGGGACATTATGAGGATTAAAATAACGCAAGAGAAATTACCCAGGGCAGTGCGTGTCACATAGTAGCCACTCAACCAATTTTCTTATTCCCGCCTCCCCACCCCTCACCCCAGGGAAGAATCTATGCGCGCGAGCGGGTCGGGCTGGTGCGCGGGCGGGAAGCCCTTCGCTCCGGGAGCCGCCGCCCCCGCCCGGCCGCTCGCGTCCGTCTAGTGGCCGCCTCGCCGCATCCCTATCAGGCGCATTAGCCGGCCCGCTGCTCGGGTTACAGACGTCTGAATGACAAAGAGCCTCCATTACCGGCGCGGCCCGCCAGCGGACCCGCCGGGACGCGCTCTGGTTTCAGCACTCTCGTCGCGGCCCTGGGAGGACTCGGAGCGCCGCGGAGCCCGACCCGCAGGGAGCCGCGGCGAGCGGAGGCGAGAGCCGCAGGGGCTGGGGCCGCGGATTCTGCGCGGGTCCACCTTTCCCAGCCCCCAGGCCCTCCACGCCCAGCTCTCCTCCTTCCTCGCCTCCTCTCCCCTCGGGGGACACTCCCTCCTGCCCCTCCGGGATCCACGCTTCTGTCCGCCCCCGTCCCACCTCCCCGCCCCCTTCCGGACGGACGAGCGCCTCTAACTCGCGCGTCAGTCGGCCGAGGTGCGCGCAGTCGCTCCCAAATCCCCGGAAGAAGCCACAGGTATCGACAGCTACAGGGGACCTGGGCTAAGCTTCGGAAAGGGGGCCAGCGCCCGGAGGTCTCTGCCCACCCAGCCTCCACATGCCGCCGCTGGTGTCAAGCCCGCCCGCCCGCCGAGAAATGCAGCTCTTATCCCGCGTGGGGACGCCGCGCTGCCCCCTTAAAGGTACGGGCAGTACGGGGCTGGGAGTCAGGTGAGCGGCAGGCAAGCTGGGGCTCTGGCTCGACTTGCGGGTGGGATCCTAGTCAAGCTGTTTAAACTCTCAGAGCCTCAGTCTCCGTATCTGTAAAACGGGGACCTGGGGCGCGATGCTCAGAGACGCGAGGGTGTCAGGGAGAGTGAGAACACCTCTTCCATTGCCAAATCTTCCAGGGCACTCCGTTCATGGCCACACACCAGGTCACATGTCCTGAATATCTGGTCAGAACTACCAGGGGGACCTAGATGCTTAAGAGGACCCGCAGTCCTTTGCCCAAACAGAATCCGAGGCGTCGGAGCGCCTCTGTCTCATTCAGTGCTCAGCGTCTTCATCTGAAAGTTGAGCGAGGCGCGGGCGGAATCCCTACGCGCCTGAGCGCTGAGGCCGAGCGAACCGAGGTTGCGGTGCTTGGGTCACTTCACTTAATGGGGGCGGGCGCGCAGCCCCAGTGGCGCCCGCAGCTGCCGAGGGCACAACCCTCGTGCCGCAGCGCCCCCTGCGGGCCGCCTCCGCCTGCGCGACCCTGGGCTGTGCGCTACCGGGACATACCCCTCCTGGCGCGTCCCAGCGCTCTGCTTCCAGAGACGTGGCGGCCGCCAGACCCGGTCGGACGACGCCCACTCCATCCCTTCTCGTCCGCCGCGCTGCTTCAAACAGCGCTTCGGAGCCGCTCGTGGGTCGTGCGGGAATCAGGGGGACGGGTTCGCCCCCGCGAAGTGGGCGCTCCCTCCCCACACTCGGATCCTCAGCGCAATTCCCCGACTTGGCGAGGCCTCGAGAAAGAGCGCACGACAGGAGCGGGAAACGTCCGTCCCTCTGCTCTCTTCTCGACCCACTGTCCTTCGGCCGACCCACGGGGTCCCGACCACCTTAGGGGCCGCTCTTCTCCGTCCTCTCATTTTGCTTCCCTCTCCCTACCTCCCTCGCCGCCGTCCCTTTTTTTGCCTCCCCGACCCACTTTTCTCTCTTCAGCCGACGACCCCTGCTCCCCGAAGCTCTCCCTCCCACGCCCCTCCCCCCATTGTCTGGCCAGTCCTCATTGTCCGATGCCCGGTCCCCTCTGTCGTTCCAGCCTCCTCCCCCATTGTTCCAGCCCCTTGTCTCCAGCCCCGCTCGCCCCTCACATCTCTAGTCCCCGTCTCGTTCCTCATCTTCACTAGCCTGGGTCCTGTCCCACGACCCTCCAGATATCAAGATGCTCAGGGGGAAAGTCGCCTTGAGAGCCTGGCATTCAAGCGCCCTCTTCCAAAGAGCCCAGGCATCCAAGAGCCCCAGGACCCCCTCCTCAGAGACCCTCCCAGCTCCTGCACACACCCCCCCAGGTACCGGAGTAGCCGCATCCGCGCGCACCTCTGGACCGCATCTCTACCCCGGATCTCAGGGTCTCCTCTGCGCCCCGGGAACCCTAGACGCTCCTCCGTGGATTCTGGCATCGGAGCTCCTCTCCCGCCATCCATCCCCAGCATCTGGGACCCAAACGCTCTGTTCTGTTTTCCCTCGGGGAAACCTGAACCCACAGGGTTCCGGTCCAGGAAAAGGGAGCGGGCTCCCCTCAGGCTGGCACTCACCCCCAGGAGCAGCAGCAGCAGCAGGCGCGGCCGGTCCATGGCGCAGCCGGCGGCACCTGCCCCCATCGTCCGCCTCCCGCGGCAGCGCCCGCTTCCAGTCAGTCCGCGCTGCGGACAGATAGTGCTGCGCTGCGCTCCGCTCCGGCACCCGCCCCCCGAGCTGGCCGAGGCTCCGCTCCC